GAGGTTTGTAATTTTATTAATGAAGAATATTGCGAAGTCGTCAGCTGTTAGAGTTGATGAAGGAGGGGGAGGAGGACAAAGGAGGGAGGAAAATGTTTTAAAGAGCATGCGAGAGTTAGGCGAATTGTTAATTTTGTTGTGATAGTATGTCCTTTTAGCAGTGGAGGCATTAGCAGAGAATGAAGAGAGGAGTGATCGATATACATTAAGGTCAGTAGGATTTTGTGATTTTCGCCATACTCTTTCTGCAGCTCTGAGCTTAGAACGATACTCACGGAGAACATCAGATAGCCAAGGGGCAGAAGAGGTGGAACGAGCTGGCCTGGAAGACAAGGGGCAGACAGTATCTAAACAAGATGTAAGAGTGGAGCAGAAAGTAACAGTAGCACTGTTAACATCAAGAGATGCTAACTGTTTAGGGGAAGGAAGCCAAGATGAAACCATAGCAGATAGCCGGGAGGGTGAGAGCGAGGGTAGGTTACGTCGAAAGATGACACGTGGAGGAGTATGTGTTGTGTCAGGAACCATGTTGAGGTTAAGAGTGAGGAGGAAGTGATCCGAGGTGTGCAGTGGAGTAACCAGCACATGATCAGTGGAGCAGTGTCGTGTGTAAATAAGGTCCAGTTGGTTGCCTGATTTGTGAATTTAACCATATGATACAAGTAATACTATTATTTATGGACCAGTTCTTTAAAGCTGCCTAAGGGACTATAACATCTGCATGACAAAATGTAAAAGTGTAAGAGCTAAGGTTTTTATTTGGTGGGAGTAATAGTAGCCTTTTACACAGAGCTTGGGACTGGCATCAAAGTTCAGTAACGGCAGTAGTTTATTGGTATTGTTCAGTCATGTTCCTGAATGATTTAACGTATTATAGTTTACTAATAACATCCAATAATTGACCATCCTATACCATTAAGCCAGTTTATAGTTGCAAATAAAGTCACTCTCAGTATACAGTGGGTACGGAAAGTATTCAGACCCCCTTAAATTTTTCACTCTTTGTTATATTGCAGCCATTTGCTAAAATCATTTAAGTAAATTTTTTTTTCCTCATTAATGTACACACAGCACCCCATATTGACAGAAAAACACAGAATTGTTGACATTTTTGCAGATTTATTAAAAAAGAAAAACTGAAATATCACATGGTCCTAAGTATTCAGACCCTTTGCTCAGTATTTAGTAGAAACACCCTTTTGATCTAATACAGCCATGAGTCTTTTTGGGAAAAATGCAACAAGTTTTTCACACCTGGATTTGGGGATCCTCTGCCATTCCTCCTTGCAGATCCTCTCCAGTTCTGTCAGGTTGGATGGTAAACGTTGGTGGACAGCCATTTTTAGGTCTCTCCAGAGATGCTCAATTGGGTTTAAGTCAGGGCTCTGGCTGGGCCATTCAAGAACAGTCACAGAGTTGTTGTAAAGCCACTCCTTCGTTATTTTAGCTGTGTGCTTAGGGTCATTGTCTTGGTGGAAGGTAAACCTTCGGCAATGATTTTAGCAAATGGCTGCAATATAACAAAGAGTGAAAAATTCAAGGGGGTCTGAATACTTTCCGTACCCACTGTATATATATGCAAATGATACATAATATCTAATCTAAAAATAAGCTTTCAAATCAATAGGTAAAGCTTTAAAAATGACTTTGAGTCTCTGTATACCTACATATAATATCAACTATATGTGACCCTGAACCACAAAACCAGTCATAAGGGTCCATTTTTTGAAATTGAGATTTATACACCATCTCAAAGCTGAATAAACAAGGTTTTATTTGTTAGGATTGGACAATATTTGGCTGCGATACAACTATTTGAAAATCTGGAATCTGAGGGTGCAAAAAAAATCTAAATATTGAGAAAATCATCTTTAAAGTTGTCCAAATGAAGTTCTTAGCAATGCATATTACTAATAAAAAATTAAGTTCTGATATATTTACGGTAGGAAATGTACAAAATATCTTAATATCCTTAATATCCTAATGATTTTTGGCATAAAAGAAAAATCTATAATTTTGACCCATACAATGTATTTTTGGCTATTGCTACAAATATCCCCCAGCGACTTAAGACTGCTTTTGTGCTCCAGGGTCACATATAAACTATATAAACTTCACAACTTCCACTTGCACTGACAAAGCAAGATTGTTTTATTTTAGTTGTCCTCTTTCACAGACAACTTTTGTCTTTTTACTCTGTAAATATGTTTTCAATCAAGCACCGACTCTCTCACAAGAAGCAAATCGCAGTTTCTGTCTTTTATGGCACGTGATTGGCCAATTTCATGTGCACGCGCTCCATAAACTCAGGATCAGAGCCTGAGCTGACAGAGAAAGTTGATGATCCGTGTCATGGTTACAAACCAACAAAGCCTGAGTGAATTGGTTTGGTTTTGTCAGCTCAGAACTAATCCTGTAACCCTGAGTTTGTTCAGCTAGCATCATGGTACAGTTCGTAGAATCACACTTTTTTTGTTTTTGTTTTTTCCAGACGTGAGTGCTAGAGGCTATTGTAATGGAGCAGCTTCAGGGAGCATGGAGATCCATCACCAACGGTCTGGGAATGAAGGAGTCTGTGTTTGAGAGCTCATGCATGTCTCCTGTGATCCAAGGAGTGCCATGTCAGCACCGCTCCTCAGACGACTCCAGAACCAGCCGCACCATCCGAGTCTTCCTACCCAACCAGCAGCGGACTGTGGTGAGAGAGCCAGATTAGATTTCTGTTCATGATAGAGTAGCAGGGAAAACGCATTTCAGTCATATTTCAGTCATATTAAAATAAACGCTTCAGCCAAGGTTGCCACTGTGTGCTTGCTGCTAAACATTCAGTAGTGCAAGTGGAAAAAATACACAGAAGGGTATGGTCAAAACTGTTGTAATTACAGTAGTACAGTTTTAAGAAATAATTTCCTTTCAACAATAAGCTGTCTCAAACAAGTAAAACTTAAGTTCTTCCTTGGAAGGTAGTCTGCTTGTAGCATAAAAGGCATTTAAGTCTGCTTGCAAGTTTTATTGTTTAAAGGATGTGAAATTAAAATCATATTCATGGATTATTTTGTGTGTTTCTGTGCTTTGCAATGATGTGCACGCTCCTGAAGGTGAATGTGCGGCCAGGCCTGACGCTCCACAGCTGTCTGATCAAAGCGCTGAAGGTTCGAGGGCTCCAGCCGGAGTGCTGCGCTGTCTTCAGTCTCCATCCAGGACAGAGGAGGTCGGTCCATGCAACAGATTATTATTTTTTTTAAATGTATGCATTCAGCAGACGCTTTTATCCAAAGCGACTTACAGTGCATTCAGGCTATACATTTTTTTAACCAGTATGTGTGTTCCCTGGGGATCGAACCCACAACCTTTGCGCTGCTAACGCAATGCTCTACCACTGAGCCTGAGACTTTGAAATACCAAGATTGTGCACTCTTATTACTATGAGAGGGAGAAAAGTGCAGTGCACAGTATGGCAGAATAAGTCGCACCTGCTAAAAGAGTTATTTGCTAAAGTCATCGCATCACTGCAGCTGCTGTTAGAGGCTCCGGTTGCCATAGAAACAGTGTCCGGAGCCCACGCTTAAAGTCCCATGAAATCAAAATGTAAATTTTTTGGCTTTTAGTATGAATATGTTTGACTTATAGTTATCTATAAGCTAGTGTGCTCCAAAATTTGTGTGTAGAAGATATAAGCTTTCAAAACTTACACAGTCTCTCACTTCCCGGCAATTTTGATGACGTCACCCTGCACTTCAGCTTCTCATCAAACTTTCTGTCCAATCAAATGCTCTCTAGAATCTGAAATGTCCCACCCCCTGCACTATAAATAGACGCTGACACTGCAGCTGAAATAGGTCATTTGTTCACAGAATTAATATTTTCTGTATGCTGAATGGCACGTAGTGCACTATATGGGGGATATGGAACGATTCAGACAGTGTAAATGCGACCCTGGACCACAAAAGCAGTCTTAAGTATGGGGTATATTTGTAGCAATAGCCAAAAAAAACATTGTATGGGTCAAAATTATCGATTTTTTGTTTTATGCCAAAAATCATTAGGATATTAAGTAAAGATCACGTTCTACTGTAAATATATCAAAACTTAATTTTTGACTAGTAATATGCATTGCTAAGAACTTCATTTGGACAACTTTAAAGATGATTTTTTCAATATTGCAATTTTTTTGCACCCTCAGATTCCAGATTTTCAAATAGTTGTATCTCAGCCAAATATTGTCCTATCCTAACAAACCATACATCAATGGAAAGATTATTTATTCAGCTTGATGCATAAATCTCAATTTGAAAAAAATGAGCCTTATGACTGGTTTTGTGCTCCAGGGTCACAAATATGCTTTCCATTGGGTTGAAAGAAGTCTGGTTTCGCGTTGTGTTGTGTACGCGAACCGTCTGCTTCGGTCCAGAAACACGATATCACGGAGCGGATCATATGCTCGAGTCGCGCAGACCACAAACTGTATCAGACCCGTTTGAATTCTACACAGAATTCTATATTTTATAGCGATTCGGATCAGATTAGGAGGAGAAACGTTTAGACAAACAGCACTGGCGAGTAGAAGAGATAACACCGGTGTCCTGCAGCAACATAAATGACCCAATTTTCAAGCCACACATCCTCAGCATCATTATAATCACTGTTTTGCTTTAGTAACAGTTTCATATTGAATCTAAAGGGCTGATCTATTAGACTGTGGCTGTCATACGCTGTTAAATGCAGCTTTACCGAGCGCAATGGCTCTGGCCCAATCTGTGACGTAAACGAAGCACTATTGGCTATTTAAAAAGGGGGCGGGGCTGCTCGATATGTCCCGCCCCGTCTTCCTGCTCTAGTTGAAATTACGTCACCACATAGCATAACTCTGCGTGTTTCAAGGCACTTCACCTTTAAGACTGCGCATTGACTGGTCCAGCCTGAAAACCTTTTTTTACGGCTATTTGAGAATAAGAAACAACATTTACAGTAGAGTTTATGTCAGATTCTATCGAATTTACCATTTCTATGAACAATACTTTTTGTTAACTTTATCATATGCCTTTAAAATAATAATAATAATAATAAATTCTCATTTAACTTTTAACATCTTGCTGTGTTTAAAGTATTGTGAGAGTATTGCATCGTGAGATCAGTAAACTGAATCATGATGTGAGTATATCATTACACTCAGTATTAACTGGCTAAACAAATGCTGTCTACACTCACTACACGCAGCATCAGAATCACTTCTCTTAAAGTTCTTAAAAATCGATGAAGAATTAGAGGTCGACCGATAGTGTTATTTTCTGATACTGATTATGACTAAAATTGGAAGATATGTCCAATATGATATTAACATGATTTTGATTCTAATTCACTTAACAAGATCTACTTTACAACACATCCTCTTCAGAGTACTCATGTTTATTGCAATAAATTGAATTACCTTCAACCCCTGAAACAAAGCATAAGTGATATATTTTTATTCAAAACGGTGAATAAAGACAAAAGCCAAGTTCCCGTCCTTGCTGTGTAACATGTAACCCAGGAGCATGCAGCTAACAGCTAATGTTGCAGTTCTCCAAAGCAGCAACTAGTTAAAAACAAATGAATTATCAGTTTAATTGTCTTAAATGGTGCTGATGATGTTTTGTCCCACTCGCTGTATAGATAATGTAGTGTACATGTAAAACCGTATACATTGGCCTTTAGAAAGGGGCAGGAATAAGCACTCCGCAAGCATGTACAGAACAGTCCCACACAGTGCTCATGCAGTTTTTGCTTGATCTCATGAGCTACCTTGTGTTTATGATTACAGCAAGAAGTCTCGTATGGACTGGAACACAGACTCTACCTCGCTCATTGGGGAGGAACTTCTAGTGGAGGTTTTGGACCATGTTCCCTTAACTACACACAATTTTGTAAGTGCTGCAGAGGGGTTTTTTGTGCATCTTGAACATTTCATTTCACAGTTAATAAAAGAGTCCTGAATCTATTATTTATTTCATTTTCAGGTTAGAAAAACATTTCTGAAATTGGCTTTCTGCGACATATGCCAGAAGTTCCTCTTGAATGGTTTCCGTTGCCAAACATGTGGCTACAAGTTCCATGAGCACTGCAGCACAAAAGTGCCCACAATGTGTGTCGACTGGACCAACATCAGACAACTGCTGTGAGTGTTTCTTATATACTCGCAGAACATATCCAGCAACTTAAAAATAGGGTTTGCACAATCAAAAAAAAATGTTTCCATGATATGATCAGATGATTTATCGATCAGATTCACTGCAAATAGTCACATCAGTATTTGCTTCGAAAAGACCCAGTGTGCGTAATTCAGATCAGGTTACATCGTTGTACCATTAAATATGCTCTTGGTAAGTGCAGTTTGTTGGTGGTTCACTGACTGTGGACTAACAAAAATATGCTTCACATTCAAGCTTAAATTGTTCATATGGTAGGAAAATGTCTTATTTCCTACTTCAGAACAAAGAAGTGAGTAGAATTATTCCAGAACGCATGACACTGATGTGACCTCTGACAGATTGTTTCCGACTCCTGGCGAGAGTGGGACTCCATCTCTCCCTGCACTTACATCTCGGAGAATGAGGGAATCCCTGACGAGGATCCCTAGCAGGTAACCTCTGCCTCATCTCAGACTGCTTTGCCCCCATTTCAGCTTTGAAACCATTTGTTTTCTGTAAATGTATAATGGGCCTCATTTATGAGTTCGTTCGTACATATATAAGTAAATTCTGAGTAAGGTTGCAAAGGGGTGGAACATTTCCAGAAACTTTCCAAAAATCCCTGGAATATTCCAAAAAAATCCTGGAAAGTTCTCAAAATTTACTGGAAATTTTCCACCTTTTTGCAACCCTAATTCTGAGTAATTGGCGCATAAAATGGGCCTTTCCAAAAACACTCTTCTGGATTTACAAACACATCATAAACCTCAGATTTGTGAAAAATCGTTAGCTCGTATTTCATGAATGCGGCCCAATGTACGTACATGTGTGTATATATATATATATATAGTATATGAAAAACATAATAAGTTGCATACATCAATAATGCTTTATTTAATAATAGTTTGCTTCTTGTTGAGAGGTCTCCTATTACTTCCATAGGCAATCCGATTTATGTTTTTGTCTGATGGATAGTAAAATTAAAAAAAGAAAGAGAAAAAAAACCCCTAGCAAGCAATATGTGGCGGTCTCTTTTGACTTGGCTCTTTAAGAAGGTCATGAAATGCATTTTTTAAATGATTTTATAATGTTTCCTGAGGTGCACTTATAATCTTAGTATGTTTTTTATCAGAATGGTCATAATTTAAATCTAAATCATTTTCCACCCTGAATTTAGGACACTGCTGTGATTGACTAACGCCTTTGCATTTGAAATAAGCATTACATGTGAAACTCTTTTTAAACTTTGACTGTGTTTTTACTGTAACAACCGCCGAGTTGAACTCATCTTGCAGCGCTACACTAGCCAAACGGCCATGTCTGCCGGAAAAATCGTTAGCTCGTATTTCATGAATGAGGCCCAATGTACGTACATGTGTGTATATATATATATATATAGTATATGAAAAACATAATAATAAGTTGCATACATCAATAATGCTTTATTTAATAATAGTTTGCTTCTTGTTGAGAGGTCTCCTATTACTTCCATAGGCAATCCGATTTATGTTTTTGTCTGATGGATAGTAAAATTAAAAAAAGAAAGAGAAAAAAAAACCCTAGCAAGCAATATGTGGCGGTCTCTTTTGACTTGGCTCTTTAAGAAGGTCATGAAATGCATTTTTTAAATGATTTTATAATGTTTCCTGAGGTGCACTTATAATCTTAGTATGTTTTTTATCAGAATGGTCATAATTTAAATCTAAATCATTTTCCACCCTGAATTTAGGACACTGCTGTGATTGACTAACGCCTTTGCATTTGAAATAAGCATTACATGTGAAACTCTTTTTAAACTTTGACTGTGTTTTTACTGTAACAACCGCCGAGTTGAACTCATCTTGCAGCGCTACACTAGCCAAACGGCCATGTCTGCCGACACACAGTGCGACGCGATTCCTGCAATCTCACCAATACTTTCCTCATAACTAACACAGTGGAAACACGGTAGCACTTTATTTTACAGTCCTGTTTCATAGGTACTAACCCTAAACCTAACCCTACCCTAAGTAGTTGCCTTACATTAGCAGAACTTTCTTAGGTAGGTACACTGTAAGTACACGTACTGTAAAATAAAGTGCAACTGAAAACACAGTGTAGATTTTAGACTCATTGAGCAGTGTAAACCGTGTCATTGATTATAACGGGAGTTTTGGTGGAAATGCAGAAATCAAATCATTGATAGACTCGCTCTGATCTTGAATTGACTGCGCCAGCAATTATAAAGAGAGTGATCTTTGATCGCTTTCTGTGCGTAAAATAATCACGAAAGAGTTGGGAGTTTAGTCACTGGCTTGATTCACTAATGCATGCAATGCAGTAGATGACAAAGAACATCTGTGCATGAGCCCTTTCACTTTACACCCATCACAGCTCGTAACGGGCATGAAATGCAGTTTCACGTTATTATACCAGTCCCCCCACCACCCCCAAATTTCTATGATGTTTAGTCTCTAGATACTCCGACAGTCTGTTTCACATAACACGGTCAGTTTATATGCTGTAGTCTGAGATGTGTGTTTCCATTAGCTCTGTGCACAGTGATTCAAACCCTGGTGTCTTCATTTTCTCCAGCGCTTACCCCCCGTCTGGAGCGGCTCTGACACAGAGACTGCGCTCCACCTCCACTCCCAATGTCTGCGCCACAGTGGCTGTCGACAGCAGCCAGATCGAGGTAAACTCTGCTATAAAACCAGCCGTCACTCCAGCCATGAAGATTATCTGTTCTTCTCTATCCTGTACTTCCACCTTTTTTCGATCTCCACTCTAATCTAATATCCACAAGCTTGATAAAATAAATGAAAGCGAGCAGATTTGCCATTCTCCTCTCTCTTGTTCCCTCTTCTCTACACTGTCGTGTTGTTACACGCTGCTGGGGAGTAGCTAGACACGTCTCCAAGCTCCTGGGGCCATCAGCAGTTCTGTCTGAAGAGAAGAGTAGGTGCTGTTCTTCTCTTCAGTAAGGTTGTGTTTAAAACAGTGCAGCTGTCTTGTTGCCTTTACGGATAGATGCTTTCTTACACTGCCTGTGAACACAACAGTTTGCAAGTTTGGATGCAGCCTGTGTTTGGTGCGAAGTCCGTCTCTGAGCTTAATAATTCACTGTGCCTACTATTTATTTCCATGTTGCAATAATCAGTAATCTACTCTACGATACAAAGCTTGTTACTCTTTCATTTTTAAAAGGGAAAGTTCATTACAACATTATTTAGTCACCCTTGTATCATATGTTGTGTTCCACAGAAAAGTGTCTCAGTGTTTCCACATGATAAAAGTCAGTGGGGTCTGATGTTGTTCTTCAAAATGCATACAGATAGGGAATGACATGAGGGTTAATGATGATCCCGGTTTGTTATTTTTTTTTAACTATTCCACCAAGTCTGTAACTAGTCCAGCTGCAGAGCCTAGTTATAACATCCATACCTGTTTCCATGCATAAAACTATTTTAAATCTTTTCACTTATTTTAAAAACTTGCCACGAAAATGTGCTAATAGAACTAACTAATATAAAATATAAACATCATATATTATTTTTGTACATGCATTAAATTCAAAATTTAAAAAACTTAAATGTAGGTAAAAAGAGAAACCTTTATGATAAACTGATCTCTCTCTCTCGCTCTCTTTCTTTAATCTATAAGATGTGCTCTTGTTTTTGCACCTAGGTCTCGTGCCCCTCCCCATGTTCCACCCTATGTTTTGTATTTAATGGTTTTTGTTTTATTGTTGTCCTGCTGTGTACTTTCTGTTAATTATGTATCTGTAGTTTTGTCAGTCTGCTAACACACACACATATGCACTGCCATACCCCTTCGAATACATACAATCACATTTATACACATACAGTACGAACGGACCCACACATTAATACACATTTCTGCTTATTGTTCATTAAAACATGTCATCTATCACTTTTGTAACCTGCGCCAGCAATTATAAAGAGAGTGATCTTTGATCGCTTTCTGTGCGTAAAATAATCACGAAAGAGTTGGGAGTTTAGTCACTGGCTTGATTCACTAATGCATGCAATGCAGTAGATGACAAAGAACATCTGTGCATGAGCCCTTTCACTTTACACCCATCACAGCTCGTAACGGGCATGAAATGCAGTTTCACGTTATTATACCAGTCCCCCCACCACCCCCAAATTTCTATGATGTTTAGTCTCTAGATACTCCGACAGTCTGTTTCACATAACACGGTCAGTTTATATGCTGTAGTCTGAGATGTGTGTTTCCATTAGCTCTGTGCACAGTGATTCAAACCCTGGTGTCTTCATTTTCTCCAGCGCTTACCCCCCGTCTGGAGCGGCTCTGACACAGAGACTGCGCTCCACCTCCACTCCCAATGTCTGCGCCACAGTGGCTGTCGACAGCAGCCAGATCGAGGTAAACTCTGCTATAAAACCAGCCGTCACTCCAGCCATGAAGATTATCTGTTCTTCTCTATCCTGTACTTCCACCTTTTTTCGATCTCCACTCTAATCTAATATCCACAAGCTTGATAAAATAAATGAAAGCGAGCAGATTTGCCATTCTCCTCTCTCTTGTTCCCTCTTCTCTACACTGTCGTGTTGTTACACGCTGCTGGGGAGTAGCTAGACACGTCTCCAAGCTCCTGGGGCCATCAGCAGTTCTGTCTGAAGAGAAGAGTAGGTGCTGTTCTTCTCTTCAGTAAGGTTGTGTTTAAAACAGTGCAGCTGTCTTGTTGCCTTTACGGATAGATGCTTTCTTACACTGCCTGTGAACACAACAGTTTGCAAGTTTGGATGCAGCCTGTGTTTGGTGCGAAGTCCGTCTCTGAGCTTAATAATTCACTGTGCCTACTATTTATTTCCATGTTGCAATAATCAGTAATCTACTCTACGATACAAAGCTTGTTACTCTTTCATTTTTAAAAGGGAAAGTTCATTACAACATTATTTAGTCACCCTTGTATCATATGTTGTGTTCCACAGAAAAGTGTCTCAGTGTTTCCGTGTGATAAAAGTCAGTGGGGTCTGATGTTGTTCTTCAAAATGCATACAGATAGGGAATGACATGAGGGTTAATGATGATCCCGGTTTGTTATTTTTTTTAACTATTCCACCAAGTCTGTAACTAGTCCAGCTGCAGAGCCTGGGATGGTTGTAAAATTTGTAGTTATAACATCCATACCTGTTTCCATGCATAAAACTATTTTAAATCTTTTCACTTATTTTAAAAACTTGCCACGAAAATGTGCTAATAGAACTAACTAATATAAAATATAAACATCATATATTATTTTTGTACATGCATTAAATTCAAAATTTAAAAAACTTAAATGTAGGTAAAAAGTGAAACCTTTATGATAAACTGATCTCTCTCTCTCGCTCTCTTTCTTTAATCTATAAGATGTGCTCTTGTTTTTGCACCTAGGTCTCGTGCCCCTCCCCATGTTCCACCCTATGTTTTGTATTTAATGGTTTTTGTTTTATTGTTGTCCTGCTGTGTACTTTCTGTTAATTATGTATCTGTAGTTTTGTCAGTCTGCTAACACACACACATATGCACTGCCATACCCCTTCGAATACATACAATCACATTTATACACATACAGTACGAACAGACCCACACATTAATACACATTTCTGCTTATTGTTCATTAAAACATGTCATCTATCACTTTTGTAACCTGGAACGTTCGTGGATTTGGTTCTCAGACAAAGAGGATTAAAGTTTTTAACCATCGAAATAAACTACAAGCCGACATATGCCTTCTGCAAGAAACACATCTATCAGAATCTGATCATAACAAAATTAAATAATCAAAGTACAGTCATTTATTCTCGGCTCCCTACAACACAAAACAGAGAGGAATACGCATTCTAATAAGTAAAAAAATCTAATTTGTTCATAACACCACCGTTATAGACCCCGAGGGACGTTTCATTATCATAAACATCTCAATTAATAATAGCCCAGTTACAATTGGCAGTTTATATGGCCCAAACACAGACGACCCATCTTTTTTTCCAGACCTTTTTTTCCCTTCCATTTCAAATTTTTCTAACTGTCCAGTCATAATAGCAGGTGATTTCAACACAGTTTTAGACTCAACAATAGATAGATCTAACAGTTTGGCCAATAAACGTATCTGGAAATCTGCAGAAACCATAAAACAGTTCATGAGTGATTTTGGTCTTGGCGATAGGTGGCGTCTACAGACGTTAAAGAATACTCATTTTTCTCACCAGTCCACCACTCATATTCCCATATTGACTTCTTTCTCACCAGTAATTCTATCATATCAAATCTTTCTGAATCAAAGATCCATCCAATAGTTATTAGTGATCATGCCCCAGTAACATTAAAATAAAATATAACTAATCCACATAAACCCATTACTAGATGGGCGATTTAACACATCTCTTCCGAAAGACCATGACTTTGTCAGCTATTTTAAAAGAGAGTGTGCATGCTCTCTAGAGATGAAGGACTCCCCGGAATCATCTCCATCTCTTCTGTGGGAAGCAGGGAAGGCAGTACTAAGAGGAAAAATCATTTCATTCTCCGTTTACACAAAAAGGAAAGAGAAGGAACAACAAGCTGAACTGGAACAAAAAAATCAAAGAATAACCCAGCAGAAGAAACACAGGATACATTAAGAAAATGTAAATGTAAATGAAATGAATTCATCAATAAACATACCCAATCCTAATTCATAGGCTAAGACAAGAAAACTTCCATCACAGTAACAAATCTGGTAAATATTTGGCAAATCAAATCAAGCAAAATAAGGAAAAAACAGCAATACCAGTTATTACAGACACAGCAGGGAAGTCCACCAATTCACCAGAAGATATCAATCAAATCTTTCAACATTTTTACAGTAAATTATATTCCTCTGAGAAAGACCAGTCTCAGAAAGACATCAATTCATTTCTCAACAATATCAACCTACCTCAACTTTGTAAATATCAAATAAATACTCTTGAATCCCCTTTAACAGAACAAGAAATCTTTAATGCCCTTAAACTCATGCCGAACAATAAAGCACCAGGTCCGGATGGATTCCCTGCTGAGTTCTACAAACACTTTTGGTCCATTTTATCACCACTCTTCATCCGAATGATAAATGAATCAAAACAAAAATCAAAACTCCCAGATAACCTGAACACAGCCACAATCCAAAACCAAGGATGGGATTGTCCCAACTTATGCTGTGCTCATGGAGGGCCCAGAGGCAGCCTTACAATATCTCACTATTTATAGCTTTATTATTATTATTGTTGTTGTTATTGTTGCTGTTGGTGATTTGTTGCATTTAATTTGTCACTGGTAAATTGTATATCTGTTTGCATAATAATAATAATAATAATAATTTAAAAAGACAAACCTTTAATTCTAAAGCAGCAAACAAGTTTAAATATTAAAACGTATATAAAATGGTTAAAGGTTTGGAACTTTTGCATTGAAATCTTTTTAGGTCCAGTAGACATAAATATGGAAAGTAGCGTTACATTCCTCCCCATCAGCTCAGATATTTCTAATATTTATTATTTAAAAGTTTACAAAATGTTATGCAGTATATCAAATGAAACAATAGAATCTACTAATAATGTTTAAATGCTGTATTTTTCTGCATCAGTTTTGTTGCTCTATCCTGTCACCTCAGGCGGTGATTGTGTGATGTTTAGTGGTTAATCTACTGTCGTTACAACTCACACAGTGTTATAACCATCCCCAGTCCTCGCCATAGACCATACAACAGCTGCTGCAATAAATGTACCTTACTATACTTTGAAATTTAGCCGACTCGTTTTCAAGACAGCAGCATCCTATGACACTGTGAGAGGAAAGTGTTTGAGACAATGAGAAGTGGGATCTAAAAAGAAACCATCGAAGGGGTTTGTGTCTAAGGAAGCTCTTAAACTTTCTTCTTCTGCCTCTGTTCTGTGTTTGCATGACCACAAACCCTTTCTTCATGTTGCTTGATGTCAAGAATCAACTCTCAAAAACATTAAGGACATTAAGAAGGGAATAATAGGATCGTAACTACAGTAGAGAATTATCTAGTGTGTGATTAGTTGTGTACAGTACACATCATAACAGCCGGAAACTGTATAAAATGTGCAAAATGTGCTTCTGTCTTGCAGCGCGCTCTAGGATTTGCAAGAGTGAAAATACCGATGAGCAATTTTGTGTTATTCCTTAATATTTTTTTTGTTTGCCTTTCATGCAGGACGCCATGCGCATTCACAATTCAGGTAAGAATAAATCATCAAAACAGATTCATTTGAATGCAATAACAATGTTTTTGCTGTAGTTTAGTTATAGGGCATGAATATGGATCAGGTTAATGTTTTTGGCCATCTCTCTACAGCTAGCAGTTCTCCGGATCAGAGTCCAACAGGTAACATTTTAAACATTATGTACTTTTTTCACAGATAGTCATATTATCTTATGCTTTGAATAAACGTGCATTAGTAATGTTTGCTCGATGCGCCCTCTTGTGGCCTTCACCCTAACTGAAATTATGCATTTTAAATTAGAATATAATTCGAATTTTGATCATATTTAGTTTTTCAGCCAGTTTGACAGCCCTAATAGGAACCTGCTCAGACTCTGGAGTGTCACCAGTCTAATCCAATCAGCAAAACTGTACCAGTTATATATGTCCTTATCACAGAGATATAAAGAGAAGTCCACACCCATGAAAGAGCTCAACTTCAAACAGTATTCCCAGAGTGTAGACACAAAACCAGTTGCCTGATGTCTGATGATGATCATTTTTGAACATAACACTATGGTTTGAATATTGTGGTCTGTGAGTATAAAAATCGTTTGGTCACATTTTGCATTTTATTTTCATGACTTTTAAGCACATTTTCCCCCCAAATTCTCATTATTGTAGCAGAAATGGTTGTACAGTAGTGAAAATCAGAAAGCTTTTTTAAACCACATTAATGGCAGAACAACAAATACTACAATGATGTCTACTTTACATTTGTACTTTTCAATTTTAAATATTCATTACAGTAATGAGAATTTAGTTGGAAAATGTCACACTTCAGAATATGTTTCCTTTAACATTAACTTAAAGTTAAGTTCATTTGTTTGTAGTAACTACACATGAACTAACAATGAAAAAAATACTTCTAAAGCATTTATTATTATATTATTCTTAGTCAATGTCAATTTCAACATTTACTAATGCATTATTAAAATAAAGGTCGTATCTATTAATATTATTATTAACAATGGACAGTTGTATTTTTATTAACTAACATTAACAAAGATTATTAAATACTGTAACCAATGTATTGCTCCTTGTTAGTTAAGTTTATTTAATGCGTTAACTGATGTTAACTAATGGGACCTTATTGTAAAGTGTTACCAGAAAATGTGTGCAATTGTTGTGAAATGTAAATAATTATAATAATAATGGCCATGAATTATGACTGTTTAGCCTACTTCACTAAGTGCTTAACATTAGTTGCTGTTTTGTAGCGGCCGAGGGATAAGAGAGACTCGAGCTATTACTGGGAGATTGAAGCTAACGAGGTCGTGCTGCTGAACAGGATCGGCTCGGGCTCCTTTGGAACCGTGCACAAAGGGAAATGGCACGGTAAGCATAGATTAACTGCTCCAGTAAAGTCTAGCTGCTATGACTGGGTTAACTTACACTATAACACGCTGCAGGTGATGTGGCTGTGAAGATATTAAAAGTGACCAAGCCGACACCGGAGCAGTTTGAAGCCTTCCGCAACGAGGTGGCGGTTCTTAGGTGAGATGTTCATACTGATTGTCAACAGGTCACTGTCCCCAGTTCAAAGGGGATGACATATTTAGAGCAGTATACAATATGACCCTGGACCACAAAACCAGTCATAAGGTTAAATTATTTTAAAATTGAGATCATCAGACATCAAGCTGAATAAATAAGCTTTCCATTGATGTATGGTTTGTTAGGATAGGACAATATTTGGTCGAGATACAACTATTTGAAAATCTGGAATCTGAGGGTGCAAAAAAATCTAAATATTGAGAAAATCATCTTTAAAGTTGTTCAAATGAAGTTCTTAGCTGTGCATATTACTAATCAAAAATTAAGTTTTGATATATTTACGGTAGAAAATTTACAAAATATCTTCATGGAGCATGATCTTTACTTAATATCCTAATGATTTTTGGCATAAAAAAAAATCTATAATTGTGACCCATACAATGTATTTTTGGCTATTGCTACAAATATCCCCCAGCGACTTAACACTGCTTCTGTGCTCCAGGGTCACATATAACAAAAGGAAAATTGCAACCTGCGTATTACAGTATTGCAGCATATTCTGTCCCCGTGTACTCATTTAACATGAGCTCTATGAGTGACAGTTCACTAGTACAATTTACTCACAAAACCTATTAAAACATACTAAAACAGTGTTTGTGGAAGACAGCAAAGCAATGCACAAAGTATTAGTGCTGGGCGGTATACCGGTTCATACCGAATACCGGTGCTTATTTTTGTTATGATATAAATTTTTAAAATATCGCAATACCGGTGTATGTCGCTTAAACAACGTTCGGACCGCGACACTGTTTGAAAGGGGTCCCTTTTCACTGTTGCACTGTGGTGAGGGAACAGCTGCATGTGTTACTAAGCGTGAAAGCTCCGAAACTGAAGCTGTAGAACTAATAGAACGTGATGACACAGAAGAACTCATCCACAATATCCACACTGACCGCCACAAATATCCACCGCCCCCTGCCATCAGCTCCCGCGTCTCACACACACGAGCGCGACTTTAGCACTAGATTTAGCAACTTACAGACCCTTTTAGCATCTTTTTTCCATAGAACATTCATACTGACTAACCTAGAGACTTTTTTGGATAACTCTTAGCTATGGTTCAGTTGGAGGATTTCGCCAGTGCTGTCCCGCGAGCGCGAGGTCTGGCTTTTTATTGATTAGAAGTGTCGCCTCTCTCGGCGTCTGTTCTGTGCAGTGAGCGACAGAGAAGCACCGCAGCAGACTCCTCAATAAATGAGTACACAACAGCGTTTCCTAGCACCTGTCGCTTACTGATTGTTTGGAATTATAAATATGAGCGTAGTTCGTCTGTTAATATCACATGCACTTTTTTGTTTGTTGTTGTTTTTAGTTTGTTACTCAGACACAGGCAGTGCTGCATGAGACAAAAAAAGTAATCTAGCCAAAACAACCACTCTTTAGTGTAGATGCATGGTGATTTTATCAGACGATGCCGTGATTATAAATGAGAGTGACTCCTGGTTAACATGTATTAAAAGGGGTCGTGTTTAGTCACTATTTAGTGTGGTATTTTTTGACACTATTCACTCATCATGACAGTAAAATAGAGCATTCTAAGTCAATATACTGCAATATTTCCTCTCAATCAGTAGAAAATATGGTTAACATCCGGTCATGCATGAAAAAAAAATACCGTCATGTATCGTGAAACCGGTATAATTTTGAAAAATACCGTGATATACATTTTTGTCATACCGCCCAGCACTACTAAGTATTACATTACATTTTCGGAGTGCCTGTATTATTGGCAAAGGTTGTTTACTCTAATAGAGAAAACAAAAAGAGTGACATCTGGGAGAGCGGCGTGAAGAGTGAGGACAGTGGATTTAGCTTTTAATGCGGCTGATCCGAGTTTGAAGCTGCCTCTTTCTGATCCCATTTTTCTCCATAAAAAGCTTAATATGACCAAGTGCTTGGTTTAAAGACGTCAAACGACTCGATAAATCTGCTGAGGGGCAAACATTAAACTACCATGCATCGGTGTAAATTGAGTGTGTTTCTCGGAATCTGATATTAGGAAAAATACTTTTTTATCTTCGTATATTCTAACTTAAACCTTTATGAGTCTGATGAAAGAAAATGTATTTGTTAAAGAGAAGAATATTGACAGTCACGGTATTAGCAATAGCTGTATTAACATTAGAAGTAGTATATGCCCTTAACTCTTTCCCTGCCAGCGTTTTTAAGTTTCCAGTCATCACCAGCATTTTTGATCATTTTCACAAAACTTACATGGCCCCCAGAATATTTTGATGAATGAATATCTGAACATGCAATATGTCAAAAAAAAAAGAAGAACAGAGCCTTCTTTAAAAAAAAAAAAAAAATTATTATGTATATACATGATTAGTTTTTTTTTAATCAACACCTGAATGTGGGCAAGTTTCATTAAAAAAGCAACATTTTGGACAAAAAGCTGAGAAAATCATGTTTTTTTTCTGTCTTTGCAATTTTGCAACTAGTTTGCTTTTTTAAGTTGTATTTATTTATTTATTAATTTTTTTAATAATGAATTTAAAAGACATTATGATTGTTAGCTAATGATTACCCAAGGGGTATCAGATAATTCTCAAGTGAGATATTATAATATATATTATATATAGAAGTATTTTGCAAGCTCACGTGTCTTTAAAATTGAATTACTTGCTGTTATGTCACTGATTTGCAAAATGGAAATATGATGTGTGACTTAAAATTCATAACATTAAAGGAATAGTTCACCCAAAAATGAAAATAATGGCAGTGAATGGTGCCCCTGTTTTTGAAGCCTAAAAACTGCATCCATCCATCATAAATCCGCCGGGTGCTCTGGCTCCGGGAGCCGTGTGGAGGAGCTTTATGATGGATGGATGCAGTTTTTAGGCTTCAAAAACAGGGGCACCATTCACTGCAATTATAAAGCTTGGAAGAGCCAGGACAATTTTAAATATAACTGCGATTGTGTTCATCTGAAAGAGGGATGCCCTGAGGGTGAGTAAATCATGGGCTAGTTTAAATAGAGTAAAGCATTTTCATTTCAATTCAATTTATTAGCGTAAATCTAATTTTCATTTTTGGGTGAACTATGCCTTTAACAGAGTGTATAAAAAAATGCACTGGAGAAAAGCATATTTTAATTGCATTAAACAGCCCAAGCACTTGCAGTATTGTCTTATTTTTGGCTTGAGAACATGTGAGTTGGCAATTCTGCATTTGCAACTCAAAACTGTGAACTTATCAATTTTATTTCGTTATTTAAATGAATAGGCCTACATTCGGAAACAGGTGCAGGTAGTCACCGGCATCAGCTGAAAATATAAAACAAGTAATCTTTGTGTGGACGACTGGCAACAGCTAGTTTTAAATTCTTTAGACACCACACACTAAACGACTTTAAACACAGACAGAAAACACCAATTCACATGACAGCTGTCAGTCAAACTCATCAAGAATGATGCAAAAACACATTTGATTTATTTTAGCATTTGAGATCATATATAATAATGAGACAGTATAATAGTTTTGTTATTGTGTTGAAATAGATTAAACAACAATTATTTAACAAATATTTCTATAATAAACTGGGGGGGGGGGGCTATTCATCATAGTTCTTCATCGTGTTCATGCGTGATGAATTTCATGATACCGTGTGAGAAATGGTCACATCTATGCCATGCCTAAATGACATTTTCAGACCTGTAGTTCATTTGCTTTGTTCTGAAACGGACTTAATTTGTTACAATGTTGCATTTTCCTTCTTTCGCTTTGGTTCACTTTCACAAGGCAACATTGCAAAGTGTACCAAGCTGTGTTTATGCAAGTGACGTGAGTAAAACTGTCCCCTTATTGGTCAGAGTTCACCGGTTTACGTTCATTCTTGTAATGCGCTAATGTGCTCGCTCACAGAATCAGACACTGCTGCTTATAATATAACATATTTCCCGTTATGAATTATGAGACCGTTTGGTTCGTTGGTCGGTTGGGTCAGATTGCTTTCTCACCACAAGCGAACCGCTCCAGAGACCACCTCGTTCAGGTGATCTCGGACTGATTATTTTGATGCCTAAACGAACCGAACTAAGGGAGAAAACGGGACGGGTTCTGAAACATTCGCTCCAAACGAGCCAAAGAAAGAATTCGGTCAAATCGCCAACCCCTATTGCATTGCATAAGCAGAATGTTTGCATTCGATGCATCTGAAGTTTTGTGTCCTGTTGTGTTTTTGCTGCCCACAGGAAAACCAGACATGTCAACATCCTGTTGTTCATGGGCTACATGACAAAAGACAATCTTGCGATTGTGACGCAGTGGTGTGAAGGCAGCAGTCTCTACAAACACCTCCATGTGCAAGAGACCAACTTCCAGATGTTTCAGCTGATAGATATCGCCAGACAGACCGCTCAGGGCATGGAGTGAGTTTCAATCCTGTGACTGATGGATGTGTCTTCATTCAGTGTCTATAAGTTCACTGTGCATGTCTCAGCAATCATTTATCATGTTTTTTTCCCCCTCACAGCTATCTACATGCAAAAAACATCATCCACCGTGACATGAAATCAAACAGTATCCTTTTATGATGCATGTAGATTCATTCTGTTCTTTTGCGGTTTAAAGGCAGATGGGATAGGTTTAGCTAGAGTTAGCATTTAGTTCACCTCACCAGCCACTCATGGAGCATCGGATGCATATTGCACACAATCATGGTAAAAGCTTCCCAAAATCACAATCTCTGGTTGGCAAGTTATACACAATGTATGGCAAAAATAAAGTAAGCCCTGGTTTTTGCCAATGTCTGCAATGTTCATGTGCCAATAATTATTAAAAAGAGTCACTTGCGGATGAAACAAAGCCCTTTCTTCAGCTTTATACATCTCAAATTATTCTTATAGTGTATAGGGAGAAAATATCAGCTTAGTACAAAGTAAATCTAACAGCCATTTATTAATAGGGTAAAAACAATGTAACAACCATATATTTCATTTAGGAAATAACATCCTGTTTTTGTTACATCATGCTTAATATTTCTTTCACCCAGTATAAATTAGTCTTAAACGAGCTGTTTTTGGTTAGAAGGAGCAGCCTTAATGCAGACTGCCAAAAGCTGCTAGACTTTGACTTTAACTCGAGCACAGACATCTTCTTACATGAAGGCCTAACAGTGAAGATCGGCGATTTTGGGCTGGCCACAGTGAAGGCCAGATGGAGCGGTTCTCAACAGGTGGAACAAACATCGGGATCTATTTTATGGATGGTCAGTGCATTGCTCAGCATCTCAGATTCTGCCTGTTTCATTCTGCTCTGAACATGCATCTGTCATTGAGCTTTACCCACATTTATGCTCTTCGCCCCTCAGGCACCTGAGGTGATCCGAATGCAGGACTTCAACCCGTACAGCTTCCAATCTGATGTGTATTCTTTTGGCATTGTGCTGTTTGAATTAATGACTGGGGAGCTGCCCTACTCACAGATAGCTAACCGAGATCAGGTAACACACACAAAGCCTGAAGGGCTGCAAAACAGGCACACGGTTTACCCAAGCTATTAATGTTATGTTAGGTTTTTAATAGTTAAGTTCATACATATTACATTGATCTGTTTATCAATTGTAGAGGGCAGCACTTAGCGAATTCTTCACATGCCTTTCAGTAAGCAAGAGGCTAATATGAGACTAATGGTTTATCCAACTTGACTCTGCATACATTTGTGGACATGCATGCAGTATCTCTCCTAGTCTGACCCTGAGTGAGTGAGTGAGTGTGTGTGTGTGTGTGTGTGTTTGAGTGTGTGTGTGTGTTTGAGTGTGTGAGTGTGTGAGTGTGTCTGTGTTTGTGTTTGAGTGTGTGAGTGTGTCTGTGTGTGTGTGTGTGTGTGTGAGTGTGTGAGTGTGTCTGTGTTTGTGTTTGAGTGAGTGAGTGAGTGAGTGTTTTTTTGTTTGTGTGTGTGTGTGTGTTTGAGTGTGTGAGTGTGTTTGTGTGTTTGTGTGTGTGTGTTTGAGTGTGTGAGTGTGTTTGTGTGTGTGTGTGTGTGTGTGTGAGTTTCAGCTTCTGGAAGCGTTTTTCAGCTTCTGGAAAAATAATCCTAATGGTTCTGAAAATAGAATTGACATTACGCAAAATCTAATCTTCTTATTATTTTGTTTGATTTTTAATCAAAATGTTTCCTGGATGTGTTTTTGATTTTTTTTTTTTTTTTTGTGAGATTCATCAATTTTATGTTAGGATTATGAGAAAGTTTAGTCTATTGAAAACAGTTAGCTATTATTTAAATACGTCCCACAATAAAAGACTGTGCTGCTGTGTTTTTAGTACTAAATATTTGAATGCATATATATTTACAGTGGTTCCCTGTGCTTTCTTAAAGCTTTGTATTTACTGTTTTCTTCAGATCATCTACATGGTTGGTCGAGGATATCTGTCTCCAGACCTCAGTAAGCTCTATAAGAGTTGTCCTAAAGCCATGAAGAGACTGGTGGCTGACTGTATCAAGAAGTCCAAGGACGAGAGGCCTCTTTTCCCCCAGGTGTGTTTGCTTTCCTTTAACAGATTATCTAACTGAACATACAAGACGCAAAATCAGTGATGTTATAGAGTTGCTGCTTATGATTTCCAGCATGCTTGGTATAGACAACAAAGTCCAAGATCGTTTTTTAATTTAAATGGCATTTACTGCATTGGATTAAATCAGAAGGTGTTGTGTTTAACCCATTGAATGCACAGGAAGTTTCAGTCAGTTTAATCGTTCTTCTAAATCACAGCACGGCTTTCATTGAAGCTGAAGCACACTCACAAACTAGGAGTGCACCGATACCATATTTTTCAGATCCGATCCGATACCAAAAAATCTGAGTATTTGCCGATACCGATACCAGCACAGTTTTTTTTTTATCTGTGTAGAATTTTTTATACCTCAATGTGTGTTGACCTGATCATCACTCTTTTGTGTGTTAAACACAAGCTACTAAATATAGACAACTTTATTATAAAGAAAAATAGCAAATGAAAAAATATATAATCATACTCTATGACAAAAATACTATTATAAACTAGGTTAGTGGATAATTCAGCAGCAATAGTTACTCATGAGTGCACAATAATTGTATAAATTCTAAACAGTTAGTGAAAAAAACATTATTTAGTGGGGAACAAATAAAAGTGAATAAGTATAGGGCTAAATCTGGTAAAATGTTATACATTGCTCTGTGTTGTTGTAAAATACATTCATGAAAACCCAGTAAATATGTTCATATATAAATATATACTATAAAATGAAAAGAGATTTCTTTTAAATGTATAGCACAGTAATGAGGCAGCAACATATGATAGATAAGACAGAACAAGAAAGGCTTTTAATAATCTTTTCATTGCGCAAAAGTATTATAACATGAAAGGCTCCTATACAGAGCGGCACGAAGCGCTTATGTGCAGAATGATGCGCTTGAAGCAACACGGAGTCACAGCGCGCAGCATAGAGAAGATCAAAGCACAAAGGGAAGAGATACTGATGCGTAGTGTATTATATCTGTGCAATAGTTTATTGAGCCTTTTCTTTTAACACTTTTAAAGGGGTCATATGATGCGATTTCAATTTTTCCTTTCTCTTTGGAGTGTTACAAGCTCTTGGTGCATAAAGAAGATCTGTAAAGTTGCAAAGACTAAAGTCTCAAATCCAAAGAGATATTCTGTATAAAAGTTAAGACTCTGCCACGCCCCCCTAAAACGGCTCGTTCTAACACGCCCCCACATATCTACCTCACTATGTGGAAATATTAGCATAATGCGCCCAAATGTGCACGCAAAGAAAGAAGGCGTGGTTTCAGTAACCGCAGTTAGTGTTGAAGCAGCATGTCAGGGAGACGCTGTGTGTTTCTAGGCGAAAGCAAAAGCACTTTATTTGGCCTTCCGAAAGTAGATGCATTTAGGAATCTTTAAGATTACTTACAACAGAACAGCAATGCATTTTATGGACGACCGTTTCATGAACCTAGGAGAGGAGGTAATGAAAAGAAGCGTTTGAGAGAGGCGGGGCATAGAGGACCTACAATAATGTACAGTATTTGAAAAATAATGTGTTTTTTGAACATCAAAGCATGTCAACATATTCTGTTACACCAAATACACCAAATAATGATCTTTAAAATAGCATCATATGACCCCTTTAAAATTCAGTTACTGTGTTCGTGAAGAACAATAGTGCTCTCTACTCCAGTGTAGTGATCTCTAACAGACAGCCGGTAGAAGTAACGTGCTTTAGAAACAGCACTAAACTCCTTTCATGCAAAACCACTGATCTTTATCTACAGATCAAGTATACACTCTAAAAAATGCTGGGTTAATACAACCCAGTGCTGGGTAAAATAGGGACAAACCCAGCAATTGGGTTGTTTTGAGCCAGCGATTGGGCTAAATGTTTAACCCAACCTTCTGGGTAGTAACCCAACCGCTCGGTCAAAACAACCCAATTGCTGGGTTTGTCCCTATTTTACCCAGCACTGTGTTGTATTTAACCCAGCATTTTTTAGAATGTAATAATAGGAACACTGAATCTAACTTTATTTAACACGTTGAACTCTTTGTCATGTGCCTCAAACCATTCTGCAGTGGCAGGGTGCATTATCCTGCTGAAAGAGGCCACTGCAATTGGGGAAAACCATTGACAGGTGTACAGTAGGGGGTCTGCAACAATCTTTAGGAAGGCAGTTCAGGTCAAAGCAACATCCACGTGAAGGCAGGACCCAAGGTTTCCCAACACAACATTGCCCAGAGCCTCTTCCCATCATGCATCCTGGTGCCATCTCTTCCTCAGGTAGATGACAGATGCACCTGACCATATACTTGATCTAAAAGAAAAAGTGATTCATCAGACTTGGCGAGCTCCTTCCATTGCTCCATGGTCCAGTTCTGATGCTCATGTGCCCATTGTAGGTTCTTTCGTCAGTGAACAGGGGTCATCATTACCCCTACTGAAAAGAAGTATTCTTCAAGTTTATTTTATTAAGTATACTTAACTAAAGTTCAAGTATATTTTTAAGTATAGTTTATGTAGTAAGTATACAAATATCAGTGTACTAGTAGTATACTTCAATACTCCTTGGGACTAAATTGGCCCACTTTCTAGTATATAAATGTATACTTTTAAGTACACTTTAAGTATAACAGTAGTCAACTTTGAGTACACAACTAGTTTACGTCCATGTTTTTAGTTTGTACTGCAACTATACTAAAAGTGAACTTATAGGTATACTGATAGTTTACTAATTAAATACTTGTAGCATTTTAGGACACTTTGAAGTGCAATCTCAGTTTAGTAGTTTAGTAGTTTTATACTGCAAGTATACTCGTAAGTTTTATTTAAGTAAACTTTACATCATACTTTAAGTATACTACTATGTCCCTATTTAGGTATTTGTATATATTTTGTTATATGAATATCTGAACATACAAACATCAAAAGAAAGAACAGGGTATCTGCTTGTAAACAAAAACATTTTATTCTAGCTTCATGCATTCTTTTTTGTAAACACTTGAATGTGGTTAAGTTTCATAAATAAAAACAAAAAAATAAATAAATAAACAACATTTTGAAAAAAATGCTGAAAAAAGACTATGAATTGGATTCAGAACGATAATCAAAATGTAGATGGAGTCGACCAACACCCCAAAGCTCTTCATTGGTCGACATTTTATTCCACAACGTTACACAGTTTTGATGCTGTTTTATGTCTGATGATCATGATTACCGGGTGTGTCTCAATCAGCTCCTGAACTCGTGAATCAGTATAGCATGTACACAAATTCGGTCACTGGTAGGTACCCTGGCTCACTGCACATTGGGACAGTGATTACTCAATTTCCGGTGACAAGTTACGTACAACATCAACGGACAACAATGTAGAACATCATTGCTGGAATTAATAAACAAGAGGCAGGACCAATCTCTTTTTTATATTACTTTTTATTATCTTTAAACACATCCTTCTGTTACATGTTCTTACAACATTTCAGCCAATGTTGTGTGTTTATTCTGAAATATACTAATAAAACGGTTTGTCTTTTCAAATCTTCTATCGTGTGTCATTATATTTATCGAGTTGGCTCGTGTGGTTTATGTTTCACGCTTCAGAAATGTGATGTAATTTCCGGTAAGGGAGCATAGCCAAAGCCACTAGAAGGCAAGCCTGCAACCTTTAGCCAGAACAAGCGGAACGGCTAATGCTAACGCTTCTGGTTTGCCAGTACGTGGGAAAGGAGACCAGAGGCCGTTTTTATTTTTGAATGGATGTCAATGGCGAAGAGGCTTCACTACGCTGAATAAACAGCTTTTTAGAGGAAACAGCTTGTCATTTAATGAATCGACAGCCTATCAGCTAATCTCCAACATGTTTTACACTAACCAGTACTTTCAGATTGAACTAGTTTACACTGAAAAAAATGCCGTTTTATAAGAGAAGTCACAGACTTTTTGCAACAGTTGGGATTCAGCTTACGGCACTCTCATTCATTCCTATGCTATCCGTAAACAGCGAGTGAGTGTCGCACAACTCTGACTGAAATTCAATGACGGCAAGGCTGTACTGTGATTGGTTATTAAGGCACACTTGATCCAAGTTGACCATTGTGCTTTCTCCAATAGTAAGTAATACAGACCCTCTCATCTCCCTATAGTAAGACAATCTCTGGCATAGCACCGATGCTCCCTAGTTTTTGCGGTGCATTGTAGGATTTTTCAGGGAGTGAATGTTCCAGTGCACTGGAAGGATTTCGTGATTGAGACTGCCCTTAAAGTGCCCTGACTACTGAACTAGGGAGCTGATTGAGACGCACCCTACGTGTGGAAGCGTCTGTTGTTTTGGTTTCTTCCTTGCTTGTGTTTTGGAAATTTTGTACAGAATATTGTATGTAATATTTTTAAATGTCATTTTAAGTAGTACATAAAGCACATTTCTGAGAAGTACATAAAAAGTAGACTGAATGTATACTTTCCTATATTTAGTTTAAAAGAAGTTGTATAATAATAGCACACTTGAATAAACTTATTTTTCATAAGGGTAGACTCTGACTGGTCTGTAGTTACGCAGCCCCATTGACTGAGCCTGGTTTCTCCCAAGGTTTTTTCTCCATTCTGTCACTGATGGCGTTTTGGTTTCTTTGGCTTGCGTAGTTGGAGACTCTTGACTGATTGCACAGACACTATTGAAGAGAGCTGAACTGATGATGACTGAATCATCAATGAACTGACTTTAGCTGGAAAATGACTTATTGTTATTGTTATTGTCTTCTTGCATTACTGACAAACTATTTTCCTGTTTAACACTGTAAAGCTGCTTTGACACAATCAGTATTATATAAAGCGCTAGACAAATAAATGTGACTTGACTCGACTTCCTTGCACCATTTCATCACTACAAACAAGGAACACCCCACAAGGCTGTTTTGGAAATGCAATAGTGTATGACAAGTGCATGCAAGTAATGCATGACAGGCATGATTTTTAGCTTCAGATTCCAGATTTTATGATTTCATCCCGGGGAAGGATATCAAATACATTTAATTATTTTCATGATGCACATTTTTTTGTTTCACTTCTGTTCATTTAAATAGGTGAGATGGCTTAATTCATGAGTGGTATATACTTCCATCTGATGTAAAGCCTAAAAAAGTCAAGGTGTGTTTGCAAGAAAATAAAAGATTTGTTTTGATAACTTGTATTTACTTGTGTCTTTGCTATAAAAAGTATTGAATGTGCTACTTGAATTTTGGAGATTTTATTTTCTTTTAAATTTGTTATATGTGATCCAGTTTGTGTAGGTTTTTATTTTAACAATAATCTGTGCAAGAAAAGAGCAGTCTTTTAATCTGGTGCAATTCTTTTCTACTCCTACTGTGTGTGTGTGT